TTTTCTGCTTTGTCGCAAAAGCGATTGCTTTTAGATCGAATAGAATTTTTTTCCGCCATTGGCCACGGAGTGGGGACGAAGGGGGGAGGGAGGGGGGCCGGGATGCGAATATTACTCTTAATGATCAATTTTTTTTTTTTTTCGGCCGCGGCACGCGCGTAAGGCCGCGGCGCGACGCACACGTGTGTTTGTCGTTCGCATCAAATTTGATAAATCTCGACGAGAGTCCGCTCGATCGGCCGGATTATTGGAACGATATTTCATAGAACGGAATAATCCGGAATGCGATTGTAGAATCGTGCACAGGAATCACGCGTTGCCTATTAACCTGACATTCTATTTCATGAATATTTTCGGTTTGAAAGTCAATCGGAACGGACCGAAAGAATGGCTTAATCGGATTGATTTAATCAGAAGCGGCGATGCCCAGATCGATTTCATTAAGAACTCGGGCCGCTAAGTGGCAAAACATTCGACTGCAATAAACGAGTAAATTTGCCGAAACGAATATACTGTAATTTGTTGTGTATTGTGCGGTGTATGTGAACGCGTGTGTGGATGAATAGAATGTCTAATTTAAAAAGTTACTTATCCAATTCGTACAGATCTGAAAATATCACTCTTAACATGTTAATTACTATAATATATGAAAAGGACGATTTTACTGAAGTATCTAAAAGTTTAACAAAGTATACAGACCTGAAAATAATTTTGGACCATCAAAATAATTATATAGAACGCTTAAACTGGTTGCTAAAATGTCAAAACTTTTTGCAGCATTGCTCATGTGATTGAGAGTTATATGTAATTAGTTTGCTAATCCAACAAAGTTATTTTCAGGAAATGAAATTTTATTTAAATATATCTTTTTAGTTTTATAATGATATTAACTCCTTTTGTATAATGCCACTAATTAATAATTAACTATGAATTTAGAATTATAATACCTTCTTATTAATTCAGATATTTATCCTGACATAAAATTTGCTGAATATGTTAAGTACCTAATACACTCTAAATTTCTTGCAGTGGAATCTTACTCCAAGAGAGTGAAAATGTAACCACCCTTGAAAAAAAGTGACGAACTTCAATCTTTTTAGAGCGAAATCTCACTTTTTAAAAATGAGATTTCGCTCCTTTGCTTTGAAGTGAAAATTCACTCTAAAAAGAGTGAAAATTGTCACTCTTTTTCAAGAAGTGAAATATTTTCAATTTTTTTTCAAGGGTGATTGTATTTTCACTTTCTTGGAGTGAGATTTCACTGTAAGAAATTTAAAGTGTAAAAAAACAACGAATTCGCGTTTAAGACTCTCAGGGAAGGTCTTTCTACATTGATGAGAAACGAGTGCGTAGCTGTTAACATCAGCCGATAGTATTGGCCTCGTGTGCGAAGCTTACAGCTGGGAACTATGCCAAACAGTTGAGGGGAACCACGCTCGGCGCGACAATCTCGCGTTTAAGCGATGATCAAAGATCCCCGTGGAAACACCCGCGAGAGTAATAGGATCTGGTCGCAGCCTCCGAAATTCCGAGTCGGAATAATGAAGCAGAAACGACGTTGGAGTTTTGTTTCGCAAGCGAGAAAAATCTACCGAAGGCTACCCTAAAAAGAGACAGCGTAATTAAAAACAGTGGGTTCACTCTGTCAAAAATCGTTTGAAATCTAT